GGGGGGGGGGGGTATACATGGACACATGCGTGTGTCTGTATGTAAGTCAGACTGTTCTATGTGGAGGCGGAAAAACAACTAGAAGAATACACACGCGTATCAGTGAGGCTCTCACTCTAAGTGGCAGGTTTTCGAGTGATTTCTTTCCCTTGTTTATATGCTTCTTTATTTCCAAACATTCTATGACTAATACACGGCACTCTCACAATTAGAAATAAACTGTCTTCAATTTAAAGGATACTGAGAAAATAATCAAATACACTTAGAACTGAGACTTTTCAAACTATAAAAAAATGCTATCGAGCATGAAGCACGATCAGTCATCCTCTGTTCTCACAGGGCACTGGGCTAGAAGAAATACCCTCGCGTTTCAAAACAGAAATATTCAATATTTAGATAGATTAGAAAGAGCATCATAAAACAAACGAACGAACTACTCCTCTGACGCCGTGCACAGGAAAGAGGCTTAGTTCTAGCAAGTCACACAAAGAAACTTATAAACAGACACTGAGGTAGGTTTCTTCTCACTGTACATCCTCAAACTCTTGCTAAAATGGCCCAGGGTCTCACTGTTCGAGATCCCGTCCGTGGTGATTTCAACCAGGAAAGGAAAACCACAAGCTCTTACGTATGTCACTGGCAGGGCTGGGGTCCGATCCACCGAAGAGGACCTCCGTGAGCGAGGACGCGGGGCCAGAATGGTACTTCTTCAGGGTGATCAGAGTTCTGCCAAAGGAGAAAATGAAAATTAGCGGCTTAGCGAAAACCAGCAATTAACCCAGCGCCCGAGGCTCCACGCAACGCTGCCGCCCGCCGCCCCCCATGAGGGGCACGCGACCGACCCCAGCCTGGATGTGCCTGCCCTCTTCTGCCCAGCAGGAGGGAGGTGCGTTTAAGGAAAACGTCACATGTGACCTCCAGTCACACACACTTACTTTTTCAGTCGCTTATAAGTGATGTCGTTAGCAAGTTTTAACAGCCTGTAGGAATGCTCTCGGTCCAAACTCAACCGGAAATCATGGGACTCGTCAAAGGCCACGGTGACCAATTGCTGGGTGATCCGGGTCAGGATCCCAGTGGCCAGCTGACTGCCTTCCTCATACAGACCCACTATGTCACCTACAGAAGCAAAGACCAGTTACATAAACGCTGAACAAAGTTAAACGTGAATTACTTCGTATAACAAAGTACAGCATATTTCAAACGTTGTATCTGTTACTTTCATCAGAAATGAAGTCAGTAAAAAAAATACTTTTAACTAACATCATATGTGAAAATTTACTGGAGCTCAATGAACTGTTTAAAACAAACATGACAGTCAATAAAATATTTAAAGTGGTCCTCTGTGCCCAGCACTGTTCTGGGTGCTGGTCTGTATTAGGAATAAAACACGGCGCCTGAGCTCCCATCACGGAGGAGAGGAGCAAATACGAAAACCTACCAGGATCAGAGCCAAGGGCTTTAGTTACGATGAAGTGCAGGGGCTCCCCTGGGGGCGCAGTGGTTAAGAACCCGCCTGCCAATGCAGGGGACACGGGTTCGAGCCCTGGTCCGGGAAGATCCCACGTGCCACAGAGCAGCTGAGCCCAGGCGCCACAACTACGGAGCCCGCGAGCCACAACTACTGAAGCCTGCGCACCTAGAGCCCGTGCTCCACAACAAGAGAAGCCACCGCAATGAGAAGCCCGCGCACCGCAAAGAAGAGTAGCTCTCGCTCGCCACAACTAGAGAAAGCCCACGCGCAGCAACGAAGACCCAATGCAGCCAAAAACAAATAAAATAAATGTATTAAAAAAAAAAAAAGATGAAGTGCAGCAGAGGGTGGAGAGGGACGAGGGTGCCATTGCAGAGCGTGTGGGAAGGGCCTCTCTGAGGGGTGACCCGTAAGCAGGGTGGGCCCTGGAAACAGTGGGGGCCACGAGCTCACCTGGGGGAGAACATTCCAGGTGGAAAGGGAACACTGATGAAGGAGGGAGAGGGTGGTTTGTTGCCCACTCAGCTGGGCCTCCCCACTCCTGCGACAGCTGTTTGGTGATTCACCCATCACCAGGCGAGTCTGAGAGGCTTCCCCTGATGCCGGGACGGAGCACACGACCCATACCCGAGCCAATCAGGGCTTCACGTGCCCCCTGGCCAGTGACTGGCTCGGGGATGGACAAGGGACCAAATCAGAGCCCCTGAGATGTGGTGAGACTTTTGGGTGGACAGCTGGAAGGATGCCCTCACCCTTCCCAGCTGGACCAGAAACTGGAGAGGACGTGAGGGCTGAAGCTGCTACCACTTGGTGCCTGAGAAGGAAGCCAACCCAGGAGAGGGTGGAGCCGAGACACAGAGCGGAACTAAGCCCAGGTGACCTCCTCTGAGCCGTGCAGCCACCTTCCAGCTATCACAACCCATGCGTCCCCCTCCTGTTCCAGCCCATCTGGCTCGGGGTTTCTGTCACTTGAACACAGACAGTTCTGACCAAACAAGAATCCACGCTGAGATGCAGCCAGGGCCTCCCACATACTCACACCCCATTTATTCCGAGTCAGAGTACGTGCCACACGTCAACCAAGCATGAGGCGTATTCTTAGTCCTAGCTGTTTTCCTTCTAGGCAATGAGTTTCATCTGCACCTTGAATCTTTTCTGTCTCCCGCCCCAACTTTTAAAGACAAAGAGCAGGTGGCAGCAGTGCCCCTGGGCCCGAGGTCTGGTTCTGTGCACGGGGACCTCCACGAGGCTGAGTGCAGGTGACCCCGTCCCGACTGTGACTTCCCCACCGGCTGCCCTGAGTACGGTCCCACATTGCAGAATTCACACCTCTTAGCTATAGAGCCTTAAAACTGCTCTTCAGGAGACGAAAACCTAACAACCCCACCTACGTTTGATCAGAAGCCGAAGCAACACATCAGGTTTTCAGCTCCGTACTTTTTCACACGAACAGCTGACTTCCTGTTTATCAGCTATTCATCAACCTCTCAGGTCATTCACTCCACAACACTTACTAACTGAACACATACTATTCCTTTGGTTTTCAGAGTTCACAAACACCCGGCACATTCAGTCCCACCCACTTATCCTGATGGCGAGGCCGAAAGCTCAGCTATAATCCCCTTGGTTCTGTTCTTCAGAGGACACGTGACTGACTCTCGGCCACTTAACAGCAAAGTGTAAGATCTGACTCCAAACCAGCAGCTTCCCCTCCTCCTATCTGTCTCCAAACCCAGCCCGTATTCCAACAATTGTGGGGCAAGAGTCTAGAAAATCGAAATATGAAACCAACAAACTCTGTCACCACCAAAACAAGGCAGAGAGAGTTTTCTAGTGGAAGTGCAGTGTTCGGCAGTGTTGCTCTCTCCCAGTTTCCAGGTCTGATCAAAAATAAGCGTCCCAGGGATTTCCCTGGCGATCCAGTGGTTAGGACTCCACGCTTCCACTGCAGGGGGCACAGGTTCGATCCCTGGTCAGGGAACTAAGATCCCACATGCCGTGCGGCGTGGCCAAAGGAAAAAATAAAAATAAATAAAACAAGCATCCCAGGTGTGAGCTTAAGAAGCTTCTTCTAACTGCCCCTCCTTTCCAGCAGAGCTGCCACAAGTTTAGCCAAAGTATCCTTGGCACGAGGAAGGTCGGGGAATACACAACTACACACGTTGAACCATCTGGACCAGGGCTATTCAAGAGACACGTGAGAGTCATGTGTAATTTTACATTTCCTAGTAGCCGTATTAAAAAACCAAAAGAGGGCTTCCCTGGTGGCGCAGTGGTTGAGAGTCCGCCTGCCGATGCAGGGGACATGGGTTTGGGCCCTGGTCTGGGAGGATCCCACATGCCACGGAGCGGCTGGGCCCATGAGCCACAACTGCTGAGCCTGCGTGTCTGGAGCCTGTGCTCCGCAACGGGAGAGGCCACGATGGTGAGAGGCCCGCGCACCGCGATGAAGAGTGGCCCCCACTTGCCACAACTAGAGAAAGCCCTGGCACAGAAACGAAGACCCAACACAGCAAAGATAAATAAATAAAATTAAAATTAAAAATCTTTAAAAAAATAAAATAAAAAAAAATAAAAAAAAAGAAACAGGTAAATTTAATCACATTTTACTTAACCCAATACATGAAAAATATTATCATTTCAAGACATAATCAGCTTTCAAAGAAATTACTCTTGATATTCTAAATTTTTTGTACTAAATCTTCAAAATCTCATGCGTATTCTACACAAGCAGCAATCACTAGCCATATTTCGAGTGTTCAATAACCTCACGTGGCTAGTGGCTGCCAGTCTGGACAGTGCTGATCTAAACTACCAAAAAGTCTCGTGATTGCTGAATTTCTAAGTGAGAGTTTTCCATTACAATGCTTTATTCTCCAACTGGTCGTATGTGACCTGGTCTTTACAACCCACATCTGAAGACAGCAATGCTCAAAGTCCACCTATGTTAAAAATGCACAGACCGGAAATAAAGCTGTTACTGGGAAGCACAGCTGCAGACATGCATCTCCTGGGCTCAAAGGTGACCAGCAACCGTCCGTACAGCCCGGTCCGCTGGCTGGATACCTGCAGCTTCAGCAAGCAGACGCCTCGGCTCTGGAGTTCTTTCAGAGAGACATTTTCCTGCCAGGCCCTGGGAGACACCCAATGTTGAGACTTCAGTGTTTGTATTTTACCAGTTTTTACTTCCAACCGTGCAGGAAGAACAGATGGAGATCTCTGCACAGGCACTAAGGGTGACCAGGGAAACTCCAAACCTGCCCCCTCTCAAACTTGCCCCCCCTATAGCCCCAGCGCGATCTGTGCCCTCCTCCCAGTTTCCCAAGACAGAACCTTCGCTCATCTTCACCTTCTGTCCTACGTCCTGTGTGTCACTGAGTCCCACCAGGCCCCTCCCATTTGTACCCAGAATCCACCCCTGCCTCATCCTCGCCGCCACAGCTTTGGTTCAAGCCCACATCACTGGCCGTCTCTGGACTAAACTGAGCTTCCTAACTTCCTTATCCCTGGGTTCTCCCCAGCCAATCCCAGCAGCAACATCCAACAGATCCCCCTAAGATGAAAATCTATTTACCTCCCTGACCTGCTTAACTGCGCCGAGGCCCATCCTCTGCACAGGAATATAATACAGTCTTCTCCACAAGGCCCTTCCCAATCTGGCCCCCACCTATCTTCCCATGGGTGCTTACTCTGTACTCTGAACCATGCTGAGCACTTGACTTAGAGATCATTGTGTTCCTACCTCGCTGGTGTGCTGTGAGAATGATCTCATTTTACAGATGAGGTAACTAAAGCTGCAAAGTCAGCCAGCCATAAATCATGGAGCTGGGATCCCACTGACGTCGACAGGACTGCAAACGCTCTTAACCATCACGATCAAAAACCTCTAAAACAAATCCCCTCCACTTGGGTAGCACAACGGTTGAGTGCAAACTCTGGGATCAGCCTGCCTGAACTCAAATCCTGGCTCGACCTGTTACCTGGGGCACGTGACTTAACCTCTGTCTCAGCCTCCTTAGACATAAAACGAGAATTACAGTAACCAACTACGCAGAGTTGACGTGAGGTTTAAAGGGGCTGATGTGTGTGGGGTGCTTTTACAGCCCTCAGTGTCATCTCTCAAAGTTTCGGCCCTACGGAAACAAGCCTGGCTTTCTCAGGGCTCCACCCTCGCCTGCAGGGCTGCCCTTCCTCCCCACATCTCTTCCAGGAATATCCTCCCCCGCATCCACCTGAACCCCTATTTTTCTGCAAGCTGTGCTCAGGCACCACCTCCTCCACGAAGCCAGCCTCAACCTAAGGCTCCCCAGGGTCAGCTGTCCACCCTCCTGCTCCCACAGCACTTTGCCTACACACACGGGTCAGCATCTATCACGCTGGAAGGGAACTGTTTCCGCTCCCACCTGCCCCTTCCGCTCAAGCCCAGCCGCCAGGGGACCGTCAGTGACTCTATCTCACTCGGGGCCTGGCACGGAACAGGCGCAAACACTGACAGAGGGGACGATGACGGAAGAGGGCTGAGAACACTTTGGGGATGGAAATGGGGAGAGAAGCAGGACCTACGAGGCAAAGCTCAGAGGGGGACTTCAGGGGGAGAACAGACCCTTCCTAAGGGTCCCCCAAACGGAACGGGCTGTCCCGGGGGGTGAAGAGGCTTCCATCTCTGTGGGAGGCCGAGCCCCTTCACAGCCGCGATCCGGACTCGAGGAGTCAGGAGGGCAAATCCCGACCCCCAGGCTGGTCAGGCCGAGCCCCCAGGAGGGAGGTCCGCCCGAGGTCTGAGCTGGGAGAGTAGGGGGGCCTGGGGGAACCGCCGGACCGACCCCAAGGCCGGGCCGGCGGCCGGACCTGCGCTCCTCGACCTCCGCGTCCCTCTCGAGCTCCAGCAGGTCCAACTGCTTGGTCACAAAGCTCTCCACAGCCGCCGACGCCATGGCCGCAGTCCGGCCCGGGCCCGGAGCAGCCGAGGTCCCGCGCCGCCGAGTTCCGGCTGCCGCGAGGGGCGGTGCTTCCGGCCGGGCCCGGTGCGTCGACGCACCAGGTTCGCACCTCTTCCGCTTCCGGTGTCGGTCTAGGCTGCGGGAAGATGGCTGCGGTTGTGGCGGCCTCGGCCCTGCCGGTCACCTTCGGGCGGCTGGTGTCTGCATGCAGCCGCAGTGTCCTGAGAGCGTCGGGGCCCGGAGAGGGTGAGACCTTGGCCGCGGGGTGAAGGGAGGAAGTGGGGCGCCCCGCCGTCCCGCCACATGTGTGTCTGTGTCCGACCGATGTTAATCGCTTTTTTTGATGCGGTGATTACAACGCGGACTTTAGAGTTGGGGAAACCTAGGTTCAGATCCTGGTTCCTTTAGTTAGTAGCTTAAATACTGATGAAAGCTCCCCAACTTCCATATAGGCTGTATTTAACCGGGGGAACAAACTGAGGCTCAGAGTGGTTAGGTAACTTGCTTACGGTCACACAGCAGGGAAGTGGGAGAGGAACTGAATCAGACAGCTCGGTCCGGCTCCAAGGCCTGTGCTTTAACCATCACCCGCAGGCTGCGAGCCACTCTCTGAGCCTCACCGTCCTCATCTGGAAAATGGTGATGAATGTCCTTGCCTAATGGTAACCAATCCAGCAAAAGCGACAGCTGTATTTTAGGCACTGGGTTGTCATGAGGCTCAAAAAGATTGTTTGTCAGAAACACTATAAACCTCTGTCTGAAACGGTTGGAGTGTGTATCTGTGTGAGGGAATGTTTATGTATGTTTTAGAATTGGGTCTGAATGTGTATTTGATGATAATAAATAATTGTTCCCTTTTTTAGGTGTGATAATGATATTGTGGTTGTGTTTTTGTAAAGAATCTTTATCTTTCGTAGAAATACACTGACAGTTGCTTTAATCACAGAGTTGGGCCAGAGGCACTGTGAATGAATCAAGCTTGGCCAAGAGTTGATAACTGTTGAGTCTGGGGAGAGATACAGGAGGACTCGCTATTCTCTTTACTTTTGTATGCTTGTCATTTTCCATAATAAAACTTGGGTTTAAGCAGGCAGGGAAGTTTTTACAAAAGCAGTGGGACTTACTGCATTCTACCAATATAAAACCACCTCTAGAATGCTGTGTTCAATTCCAGACCCAATGTTTTCAGAGAGAAGCACAGATGAAGTGAACTGAGTAAAGAGAGGGTGACCAAAATGATAAACAGGCAGGACCTTGAAGAGTGAGTGAAGGAAACAGGATGGACAGTGGCACGATCCTTAGGGATCTAAAGGATGATCCTGGGGCACCATTTGTTCCCAGTGGGGTCACTGCTAAGCTAAGACCATAGGCAAGGGAAGCAGATCAGGTGCAGAAACTTTGTGAGCTTTCAACGGTGGGATGGCTCTCAAGAGAGGCCAATCACAAGTTCCCAATCATGGAGTATTCCACAGGGGCTTCATTTGATGGCTTAGCAGAGTAGATGTCATTCATTTATTCGTATATTCACCATTTATTGAGCACCTATTACAAGTCAAACACTGGTCCAGGATAGGGAATACATCAGTTATAAACATAAAACAATAATCCCGGCTTTTATGGAGCTAGCATTCTGACGCAGGGGGAAGGGTTGTGCAGAGAGACAGACAAATTTTGAAGGAGAAGCAAATTACGTAGTATGTTCGAAGCTGTTCAGACTCATGGAGAAAAATAAAGCACGAGTTGGGAAGAAAGGGTTCAATTTTAAATAGGATGGGTGGGGAAGGCCTCTCTACTGAGACGGTATTTGAGTGGAGACCCAAAGGAAATAGGGAATTAGCCTGGGGGCCACGTGGGGTGGGGGAGCGTCCGGGGCAAGAGCAGGCAGGCATAGGCCCTTGAACTTGGCATCTCCCAGGAATAGCCAGGAGGCCAGAATGGCAGGTGTGCAGTGAACAAGGGGAAGCTCGTGAGGCGTGGGCTCAGAGAGACAGATGGAATCGCACTGCCCGCTGCCCTGTCGGCCGCTGTAAGGACTTCGGCTTTCTCTCTGAGTGAAGTGGGGTGCTCTTGTAGTGTTTTGCAAAGTAGTAACGTGATCTGACCTCAGTTTTAATAGGATCCCTCTAGCTGCTGTGCAGAGAAGGGAGGCTAGGGCGAGAGCAGGGTGTTAGTAATAATCCAGGCTTGGGTGATTGAAGTGGTCAGAGCCTGGATCTCTCAAAGAGAGGCAAGGGGATTTGCTGATAGGTTGGCTGAGGGGTGTGAGAGAGAAGGGTCATAAATGACTGAGATTTGGGGCCTGAGCAACTAGAAAGATGGAGTCGCCATTACGTGAGATGGGGAGGGGTGCGGGAGAAGCAGGCATGAGGGGCAGATCAGGAGCCTTTGTTAGGTTCTGAGACGCCTGTTAGACATGCAGGTGACGATGACAAAGAGACAGGTGTTTGTCGTGTCCGACAGACTGCAGGTGTAAACTTGGGAGTCACCAGTGTTTAGGTGACATTTAAATTCATACAGTCACCAGAGGAACGGCTATAGGTAAAGAAGAGGTAAGATCCAATGTCTAAACCACAAGCACACCAAGACGGCAGAGGGGAAGAGAAGCCAGCCCAGAAGACCAAGAATTGGGAACAACCGCTAATGAGTGAGCTTTAAAAGAGTGAATTTTACGGTTTATAAATTATAGCTCAGTTGAAAAAATAAAACGAACAGTAGTTATTGAGAAATCTGTCCTCTGCTTTTTGCACTTAAGCACCAGGCATTTTATTTCTGAGTCCTTCTCAGTAGGCTGTGGGTACCTTTGTCGGTGTATTAGTTATCTACTGCTATGTCCCAGATTACCCCCAAGTCCAGCAGCTTAAGATACCTAACATGTATTATCCATCGCTGACGGTCAGGATCCAGCAGCAGCTTAGCGGGTGCTTCTGGCTCCCAGTCTCTCATTAGATTCAAGTCAGGCTGTCAGCTGGGGCTGCAGAATCTGCTTTCCAGCTCCCTCCCTGGGCTGCTGGCAGGATGCCCCTCCAGGGACGGCCCACAGCACAGCAGCCCTGCAGCAGAGATGAGAGAGGACACCCAGGACAACAGCTGCCCTTTTATAACTTACTCTCAGAAGTGCTGTCCTGTCACTTCTGCCACATGCTGTTGGTCACAGAAACCAGTGCCCTGTCGGGGGACAACACAGGGGTGAGAACACCAGGAGGTGGGCTCATCGGGGCATCCTGGAGGCCGCTCCCACACTGGGGTACCAAACAGGGCCTGAACTTAGTGGGCACTTGTGGTCAAGGAATGGGTTAGCAGGTAGGTGATTTGGTTTTAGGCCCTTTTCAATGGTGTGATAAACACATCCTGATGCTTATGGTAATAACCAGTAACTATAAGTGATGTTCTTTTGGTTTTGTTGGCCTAGATTTTTCTGTAGACATGTCGTGATGTGGTGATTTAAATCGGGTGCCAGTCACAATAGCGGCACTTGCACACTGAGCATCGTAAAGGGCAGTTTGCGTTTCGTATTAGTAACTACGCGTGTTTCTTTATTCCCTTAGCTTCCCTGTGGTCTGCTTCTCGAAGGTTCAGTTCGCAGAGCGCTTCATTTCCACAAGGGTAATATCAAAATGTGGGTTTTGGTGACTCTTCCTTTCCTTTCTAAAGTCAAAACTTCAAACATTTGGGTTTTCAAGAATATTTAGTTTTCTTTTAACTTTTTTGACAGTATTTTTCTCAGACCCTTGACATATAGAAATACAGACAGAATCTCAAGCACCCAAAGACAAAGGTATTCTGGGCCTTGAACAGCTGTGTCTTTCTAGGCAAAAGCTTTTAACTCCTAATTGGGGATTTATTTCCAACTGGGAAGGTCGAATCACAGGATGGTTGTGTCAGAATCTCTAGGAGGACCTTACGTAATTTGAAAGAGCGTGTTCAGTGTTAAAGAAAAAACATAAAATTAATATAAACTACAGAAGGTAAATTTGACAAAATCATACTCAGGTAGGAATACACAGGGTCCCGTCCCTGCCCCGCCCTGTCAGCCCGGGTCCCTGAGCAGGGTCACGCACTCTGAGCTTCGTTCCTCTTCGGCAAAATGGAAGCAATATTAGTCTCCATCTCAGTGGGTTTTCATGAGAGTCGAGTGAATTTCTGCATTTAAAGAGCTTAGAAGGGAGCTCCCCTGCCGGCACAGTGGTTAAGAATCCGCCTGCCAATGCAGGGGACACGGGTTCAATCCCTGGTCCAGGAAGATCCCACATGCCGCGGAGCAACTAAGCTCATGCGCCACAACTGCTGAGCCTGTGCTCTAGAGCCTGCGAGCCACAACTACTGAAGCCCACGTGCCTAAAGCCCGCGCACCACAACGAAGAGTAGCCCCACTCACCGCAACTAGAGAAAGCCCGCGCGCAGCAACGAAGACCCAATGCAGCCAAAAATAAAATAAATTTTTTAACAAAAAAGAGCTTAGAAGGACTTGTGGTTGCCATGGGGAAGGGATGGATTGGGAATTTGCGATTAACAGATACAAAGTATTATACATAGAATGGATAAACGACAGGATCCTACTATAGAGCATAGGGAACTATATTCAATCTCCTGAGATAAACCATGACAGAAAAGAATATAAAAAAAGAATGTCTGTACGTGTGTAACTGTATCGCTTTGCTGTACAGCAGAGATTAACGTTGTAAATCAACTATAGTTCAGTACAAAAACTAGAAAAAAAAAGCTTAGAAGACCGCCTGGCACGTAGTAAGCTCTCAGTGCAGCTGCCTGCGCTCCCGCAGCGGAGATTCTCAGCAGGGGGGACGCAGGGCCTGGTGTTTCCCTAAAGGAGCAGTCGGCACCCTGGGTGAGGGTGGAGGCAGAAACCCTCAGGGGCGCTTTCGTGAACTCGGCTGACTTCTCCTGTGACCACCGTGAGTGGCCACTGCTGCCCCCAGTCCCTTTCCAGGTTTGTCCCTCGGTCCTCGGCTGGCTGCTGCCGGGCCGCCCGGGGCTGCTCAGACACGATGCGCGACGGGGGTGCACAGCTTCATTTGGGGGCCAGTTGACTCCAGCAGGGAGGGCGTTCGCTCACTTCACAGGTCTATTCAGCACCTTCTGTGACAGTGACGGGGGCCCTGGGCCCTGCGCTGGAAGCGGCAGGGTCCCCAGTTTTCTGGGGTCTTCTGGCTGGTCTAAGAGTTAAATTGACATGAGACATGTTAACAGGAGAAAAATCAAACCCAAGTTTAGTAACCTGTACCTACAGGAGAGACCCAGGAGAACTGAGCCACTCGCGCAAATGGCCAAAGCCCTCACCTTAAGTAGCACCTTCAGCTAAAGACAAAAGATGATGTTGAGGGTAGGGGTTTGAGACTTCAAAGGGGACGAAGGCAATTCACATGGAGGTGGAAAAGCAGATGTTTGGTGAATAAATGTTTGCTGGGCAGAGACAGTGGGACAGGAGTGGCCTCGGATATCTGGGCCCCCATGTTCCTCACAGCCGACTGGTGATGCTGTGTCCCAGGACAGGCCCTCCGTCTCGAGTCTTTCAGGAAGCTGTGCGCAGACCCAGGCCTGCCTGCCTCCTGCCAAAGTTTCTTCCTGCGTCTTTTGGGCCTTGATTGTTTTCGGCTTGAAGTAATCTGCATGCCTAAGAGACATTTGGAGGCAGGCATGTTTTGCTGTCCTACAACTGTGGGGGCAGCTGTCCCGCCAGCCACACAAGCATCAGAGACATGCTGGATGCTTGCCCTTCCTAGTGTGCTGAGCGCAGTCATTTCTCACACATCTTTTTTTTTTTTTTTTTTTTTTTTTTGCGGTACACGGGCCTCTCACTGTTGTGGCCTCTCCCATCGCGGAGCATAGGCTCCGGATGCGCAGACTCAGCGGCCATGGCTCACGGGCCCAGCCGCTCCGCAGCACGTGGGATCTTCCCGGACCGGGGCACGAACCCGTGTCCCCTACATCGGCAGGCGGACTCTCAACCACTGCGCCACCAGGGAAGCCCTCTCACACATCTTGAACCGTCTTTTCACGTGTGTGTGACCCACGTCTATAAAATATTTTTACAGATACGTTCCTAAAACGTCACTGAGTTCACCACCTTGGCCAGAAGTTGTTGTGCCAGACCCCGTCGAGGAGGCCAGACACCACGCAGGTAAGAAAGGCAGAAGTTAGGGGGTGGCGCCCTTGCTTCCACCACAGAGGGGGCCTCCTGGCCACAGAACAAGGACTTCACGTTTCCAGGTGCCCGAGACACGGCGCAGTGTGAAAGCTCAGGTTCGCTCAACACCAGAGTTCAAAACCCTCATTCGTTGAGCCAATCCTCCTAGGGCACCAAGGCACCAGCGGAGTTGCAGGCAGGTAATGCGGGTGACACAAGGGCCAGGGCCCAGCTCTGTCTCCCGCTGTTGGTAGAAACGGGAGTTCAGGGAAGAACAATGTGCCCGGTCATCGGTGGAAGCCGGCCCCAGCCCAGGTGTTCGAGAGGCCATCAGGGTGTCGGGAGGCATGTCACACAGGATGCGTGTCGCCAGGAGGGCAATGTGGCCACCACGCCCAGCACTGGGATGAGTGCAAGATCCTCAGTTTCCAAAAGCTGGAAGTCCATAGTAATGCGTGGAATCTTCCAGTTTTTTTTTTTTTTTTTTTTTTTTTTTTTTTTTTTCCTTGCGTTATGCGGGCCTCTCACTGTCGTGGCCTCTCCCATTTGCGGAGCACAGGCTCCGGACGCGCAGGCCCAGCGGCCATGGCTCACGGGCCCAGCCGCTCCGCGACATGCGGGATCCTCCCGAAACAGGGCACGAACCCGCGTCCCCCGCATCGGCAGGCGGACTCTCAAGCACTGCGCCACCAGGGAAGCCCCGGAATCTTCCAGTTTTTAAATACTATTTCGGATGCTGTGCCCGAAAAGTACAACTGCAAGTGAGGTTCCGCCCTCTTGGCCAGGTGCAGCCGAGGGCTTGACTCGGTTTCCAGGGCAGACACCGTGCCCTGCGCCCAGCCCCAGGCGAGGCCGGGAGGGTCGGGGCAGGAGAGAAGGGCCGGGCCTAAGGCGAGGTGGTGACCATGGGAGCAGGGACTGGGTGTGGGCGGACGCGAGCAGGTAGCATCCAGCGCCATGAGGGTATAATTCTAGGTTTTCCTTGTTTGCAAAAAGGCCGCTGGCTCGTTAATAACGACTGGGAATGAAACCAGGTGAGGGTTTCTCCACCGCAGGGTCAGAGAAACCAAGCCAGGCGCGCCGAGCGCTCAGGCGGGAGGATGGCAGGGGAATGGGGGCTTCTGTGCCGTCAGGGCACGATCGTCTGTAAGAGCCCCGTGTGCCCCATGCGCCCCAGTGCCAGCTCCTGGGAGCAGCGGCTCACCCTGGCCTGCGGGGGGGAGAGCGCGGAGGAGCTGCTCGCATGCACCCTGCCGCCGCTCCAGGGGTGCTCAGGGTCGCGGCTGCGGCGGGGCAGCGGGCACCCGGGTGAGGGCGTAGCTGTGGGCCTGACTGTCCCTCCCCCCACAGAGGTCGTGGGGAAGGTGAACGGGCTGATCGCCCGGGGCCGCTACGGCAGGCTCTTCGCAGTGGTGCACTTTGCCAGCCACCAGTGGAAGGTGACCTCTGAAGACCTGATTTTAATTGAAAACAAGTTAGACGTTGCGTGTGGAGAGAGGATCCGGCTGGAGAAGGTGAGACTGTGGGTCAGCTCTGGGGACGCGGCAGGCTGGCCGGTGGGCACGGTGGGGTCGGGGGGTTGTGGGCAGAGCTGCTCCCCGAGGGCGGCCCGACTCGGTAGGGCCCCTCCTTACAGGGAGCCGATCAGCATGTTTCTCTAAGGGGACGCGTGTGTCTGTCTCACGTCAGACAGAGAAGGGTTTGTCTCACGTCTCCTTAGTGTATTCTTAGAGGAAAATACCTGATCACAGGTACAGTGAAAATCCCAGTTAGGGATGTAAAGAGTTCTCAGGACCGGATTTATGAAGAGAAAATGTTCCGTTTCAGCTCGAACGCTCCCCTGACGTTAGACATGACAGCTGCTGCTGTGCTGAACAGCGAGCACGGTTTAGAGGCACCCCGCAGGGCGCTGGTCATCTTCTGACCCTCCTGAACTGCCGCGTGGTGTGTCCTGCATGTTTAGCCAAGTGCCTCTGCCCTCCGCTTGTGATTCTGTTTGCTGTGTTCGGGGGCCTATTTGGTTTTTGCCTATTCTACTTCTGTTCATAAAACTGTAGATAAAATAAGAGATTTCTGTACCAGATCATTTTTTTAGGACAGGGTTAACTGTTGGTGTGATGTGATATAACATATGGTTTTCTTTATAATTTAAAACTTCTCCTTCCTTTGTGATTGTAGATTCTTTGCATATTTATACCCAGGGGAGCATTAAACTTTCCTTTCTCAGATGGTCTTCCCGCAGCCTGTGATCCAAGCAGGACCACAGCTCGGGCTGAACCAGGGTGCTGTGTGGACGCCAGCAGCCAGCACAGCCCCTTCTCCTTGGTGACCCCCGTGGTTCTGTCATGAGCTCACGAACAAGAGTACTTTTGACCTTTTACATCTAAACTAAGAGACTTCTGGAGTGTGTGTGTTAGGATCTCTAAAAAGACAGTATTTTGAAACATTTCACATTAACAAAAACATAGGAAGCTCCACCTAATGCAGGTGGTTTTTCATAACGTAGGAAACCCAGCAATAGAGAACATGTCGGGCTAAGAGTGAGTCAAGCAAGATTTCATTATTTGTCATCACCTAACACACATAGCCCATTGATGTTATTATAAAATAGGCTTTGTCCTTAGACATTTAAGCTTAATGCAATCGAGTTTTTTTCTCATCAGGAGAATTTCAGACAGTCTCCCAATGTCTAATGAGAACCCCACTGCACTTGGGTCTCAGAACTGTCTTCATCTGAGGCCACACTTAGCGTCACAGTTTCCATCCAGTGAGAGAGGCTGCCTGGCCATGCAGGGTTTTGCAGTCATTAAACGAATACCTTGAACCTCGATCTTGGCAGTCAGCAGGACTGTGAACCGCATAAAAGACACCACGGCCTGGTTTGTGCACTTTTCCCCGTATGTGTTTATACTTCAATAAAAAGTTATTTCTTAAAAGCCGCTGTTGCCATAGGAGGTTACCCGCTCACCCGGATGACTGAGTTCCACATGTCGGGGTTTGACAGCGCGGGCATGTCCACAGGCAGCCGGGCGCCCCTGCACACACAGGCACGCCGCCACCTGGCGCCCCCTCTGTCCCAGGTTGAGGGAGTCGCTGGTTAGATAGCAGAGGAAGCCCACGTTTTGGTTTCGGGGAACCGACACCTTGCTTCCTTTCCAGTGTGCTCGGGTCACTGCCTGTTCTAGGGGCTTTGTGTTATTTGCTGGTAACACGCCTGTTTGATTCCAGGTCCTGCTGGTTGGGGCCGACGACTTCACGCTGCTCGGCAGACCCCTCCTCGGGTAACGTGCTCTCACATGCCGGCGGGGAGGCTGGGCAGAGGGGCTCCTGTCACACCCGCTGCAACCACCAAGCTCAACACGCTTACACGTCTCACCGTGGGTGTGTAGTGTCCCGCGTACAGAGAATCCAGAACAAATCGTTGGCCTGTTACTCATTCATTGCAGTTTGACCCTTTTAAGATTTGCTGTGGGACGACACTGTTCTTTGTTGTGCTTCTTGGTAGTTTTCACAGTGCCTGCAGGGAGGGCATCTGACGTCGATAACCGGCCGCAAAGGAGGTTAAACTTTATTTCGATGTTCTCACGTAAAGCACTAGTAAAACTGAAAAGTAATCAGGAAGCTACATTGCTGTTTGTTTTCCTCTCTTCCAGAAAGGATCTTGTTCAGGTAGAAGCCACAGTCATTGAAAAGACAGAATCGTGGCCGAAAATCAATATGAGATTCAAGAAAAGGAAAAACTACAAAAGGAAAAGAAGTAAGTTGGAGAAAGCGTGGCTGCTGCGTTCCCGTCCTCAGGGTGTTGCCCCGCGTCCTGCGCTGGGCCAGGTTGGACGGGTCCTGCCCTCTGCTGGGCGCTCTTGGGGGTACAGCAGCCCAGAGACCAGTGAGAGCTCTGCCCGCGTCCTGGCTGTGCCAGGGAGGGGCAGGTAGCAGTCCTTAACCACGCCAGGGCTTGTGGAGGGCGCGGCCCTGGCAGCTGGGTTCCTGCCAGACAGCCCAGAAGCAGGTCACGTGTCCACCACGGGGAATGGACGAGCAAACGGAGATTCCCTCAGTGGGATGTTGTCCAGTGCAGTGGACGGCCCACCTCCACACGGCAGGGACGATCTTAGACTATGTGAGGGTGAGCCCGAGTCGTGAAGCCCAGAGGGGGGCAGAGCTCAGCCTCGTGCTGCTGGGCACACGCTCGCACCTGCACGCATTATGCACACGCATAACGATGGCACATATTTAAAGGAAGAATGGTATGCGCAGAATCACAGGTGTGGCTGCCTCTGGAGGGGCGGGGGGCGGGGAAGGAAGGAGTCACAGATGCAGAGGGATCGTGTGTCCAGTGTTCCAGTTCCCGTGGGCGCCCCGTCAGACTTCATCTTACCGTAATGCTTCGGGCGTTCGTTCATGTTTGTTCCGTGAAGCAAAGACAGGTGGGGACAGCATCCTCAGAAGGTGGTTAAAGAGAAGAGGTGGTGGCTGGAAGGGTGTGAGGTCAAGACTGGGCTGGGAGGCAGAGGTGGGGCTGGTTTGTTTGAAGGAGTGAAAGAGGCTTTGGGGGAGGAGGGAGGCCCATCTGGAGCCTGAAGGAAGGCAGTCCTGGGAGAGAAGGTCTGGAGAGGCTTCCCTGGGGAGATGGCAGGCGGGGTGGCCCCTGGAGGGCCAGGGCATCCGGATGCTGGTGGGATGGAGCGGGCAGGGTGGGCTCGAGCACAGGGGCTGAGAGACCAGGGATGGGAGGCCTCTCTGTCCTGTCCAGGCGGCATGTGGTGCCGCAGCATGTGGTGCCCCTGGTCCAAAGGGCCGGTAACAACAGGCGTCATCAAGGTGGGTCTGCTGGGAGGGGGAGGGAATGGAGGCGGGAAGGGGTGAGGCCAGAGTTCGGAGAGGTGAAGAAACAGCGCCCCTGTGTGGACTTTGCTGCGGGTTCTGGCAGGTGCAACGCGTGGGTGGACAGAACCTCAGCCAGGAAGGGAGGAAGCGGGGGCGGGAAGGGCTGGCACCTGAGGGGGGTACGTCACAGCAGGGGCCTCCCCCAGGGGCGCAGGCAGGGCCTGCTGAGCTGGAGTGGAGAGGCCGCCGCATCCAGCAGCCTTGTGGTGACTTGTGGGAGTTGGCGGCTCAGCGTAGGGACAGGAGGGGAGTCTGTGCCCTGAGTGGGGGCAGGAGACCCCGCTCTCCCTGCCTGGCCTCACGGAGCAGGGCCGGGACGAGGGTTCACGGAGGGATCCCCCTCAGCCCTCACCCAGCCATTGCTGCCCACTTTCCATGGCCTGGGCTGTGTCTCCCCCGTCTCCCTGACCCCACACGACCTTTTGTTCCCAACCAGAGCCCCCTGCCATTGCCCAGTAAACTCACAAGCGGGAACAGAACTGTCCCTGCAGGGGCCTCCACTGGAGGTCACAGTCCCTTGGGGCGGGACCCACAGGCTGCAGCATCTTGTGTCAGGAAGTGTACAGTTGGCCCCCTGTATCCCCGTCCCACACTCGCAGAGTCAACCAGCCACAGACTGAACATTTGCAGGAGGGACTTCCCTGGCGGTCCAGTGGTTGACTCCGCGCTTGCAATGCAGGGGGCGCAGGTTTGATCCCTGGCCAGGGAACTAAGATCCCACATGCCACAACTAAGAGCCCGTGTGCCGCAGGGCCAGAAAAAGGAAAATTTGCCGGAAAAAAAAATTCCATAGAGTTCCAAAAAGCAAAACTTGAATTTGCTTCACCAAGCACTTACATAGGATCTATATTATACATTGTATTTACACCTGTTCATGTGGTGTTTACAGTGTTTTAGGCCTCACGTGTGACCTAGAGATGGTTTAGAGTATACGGGAGGGTGTGTACAGGTTACATGCAGACACTAGACCATCTTATTCAGGGGCTTGAGCATCCTTGGATGCCGGTGTCCTCGGGGGTCCTGGAGCCCATCCCCTGCAGATAACGAGGGACGATGTGTGTCTCTCACAATCCTCGGTTACAAACGGTGAAACGTACCAGAGACGGTAGCCTCAGCTTTACTAGAGTTGGGTCAGTAGGGAGCCTCTCCTGTACCGTCCGCCACCTCCAGTAGGCTCAGCGTAGCCAGAAGGGGTGCCCCCACCCATGCAGGGCAGGGGTCTCTGGGCACGTGGGGGAGGCCAGGCTGGGGGCCCGCAGCAAGGGCGCCCCTGGCCTCCAGGCCCTGGGGTGTCGCAGCCCCTGTGGGGTCTGACAGGGCTCACGGAGCGAGTGGTAAGGCAGGTGGTCAGTGATGACCAAAAACCACGGCCTGTGGGACATCACTGGGTGTCCAGTGCTGCCCGGCTGCGGGGCGGTGCTGGTGCAAGGCAGACCCTCGAGGAAAGAGCGGGCGGCGGCTGGGTCTCACGGTAGCTGGTTGACGGCATCCGGATCTGTGTTCATGCCCAGGCCCTGCTCTGTCTTGCAGTTATCGTGAGTCCTCAGACCGTCCTCCGGATAAACACCATCAAGATTGCTCCATGTCTGTGCTGATCATCCAGCTAATGTTTCTAGAAATATACAAATAAATCCATTTTCCGAGGAGACTGGGTTTCTGTGTTCTGGTGTAGGTAGCTCTGCGTTAAAGGCTCCGTCCTGTCGTGGATTGTTTGAGGCTGAGCACCCTGACTGGGAGCTTATCCTTAGTAAGGAATAGTCTCCCTTGGCTGGAGAAACGAGGAATTCAGGAAGAATTACAGGTGTGGCCCTCCCAGGGCTGGTGCCGGGATGCTCGTGTAAGACACAGACTGATATTACTGGCTGCCCTCCACCAGGCACCGCAGGTGCGTGACGTGGGGGACACAGCTGGGGCCCAGGAGCTGACGCCAGGAGAGACACGATCTGGGTTCCACTCCTTCCTGGGCAAGATGTGCAAAAACATGAGCAAATTCCCATCCCTTGGGTAATCCAACTACCTGTTTCTAGTGATTTGCTTTTCTCAGAAGCTGCGATGCAAACCAGGCATCTGGGTGCAGAGTCCCTGCCCTTGTCCTTCTGCTCCACTGGGTCCAGCAGGGAAGGGGCGGCACTCTGTCCAAGGCCGGGGCACGGCGCTGGGGCTGCAGAGCTGGGGCAGCGCAGCACGTGCTGGGAACTGGATGTGAAGTGACAGAGCAGAGGGGCCGGAGCAGTTCTGAACCTGACCCTGAAGGCAGCCTCCTGTCCCAGAAGGGTTGGGGGCTGCTGTCTGGGGCGGGTCAGGCCGGCAGCTGACCCCTGTGACAAGGGAGGGATCCCAGACCAGATTGGCCAGGGCTGGAGGGCAAATGGAAGGACGTGGAGGTGGGGGTCGAGGGTAGGGAGCGGGGGGCTCCCAGGCGTCTGGTTCTGTGTCCTTACAGAGGCCGGGCTTCCTCCAAGAGAATAGTTAGGGCTTTCAAGGGATGCAGTAAAACCCTTCATCAAACTGTAGTTAATACTTTCTTCCAGAGTCCCATGATGGGGGAGTGAGTGAGGCAGGTGGCACTGCACCAGGAGGCCTACCCCTCTCCCTGCCCCCTTTCAGGTACCCAGTCACCCTCAGGGATGCTGGGGGATGCTGGCTGGCCAGGCCCGTAGGGACACTCCCCCTCCTGCAGTGCCTTCCATGTACAGCAGGGGGCAGCAGTCCTGCTGGATGCAGAGATTCTGGATTCCGGCCGCTGGTTACTGGCTGCAGTGCGCCTGGGGTGGGCGGCAGGGGTGGTGGGCCGACCTCAGAGCGTGGGTGCTCTCCCTCTGACACTGCCACGTCAGGATCTGTGACAACTTTCCACACGCTGTAGCTCGTGCGGACTGCTCTGAGAGCCACGGCTCTGGATCCCGGGGCCTGGCTCTCTCCGGGTCCTCTCGGCCAGCCTAGGGCCCACTCCTGTGGTCCTTTTCACCTGTGCAGGTAAGATGGGAATCACCTTCCACATCCTTCAACTTATGCGCATCCATATGCTTGAAATACAGAACAGATTCTGAAGTCGTCTGCCGTAGTCAGGCAGCACAGCTTATGTAGTTGGGGAGCGGGTGGGTGGCTCCGGACCCAGACTGACCTGGTGTGAACCCCAGACCCACCCTCCAAGGAGTCCTTGGGCACATCATCTGGTCCCTGGGCCTCAACTTCCTCATCCCTCAAATGGGGGCGATACTAGTTCCCACCCGCGGGACCACCGTGAGGATTCTGGGCGACAGCAACTGCTCAGCCTAGTCAGCATTTGTGATCCTAGAAAGAGGCAGAGCCACCGTGTTCTGGGGAACTGGTGACGTGCCCGTAAAGCCTTGACATTGGTGTCGAACTGGTGAAAGATTACTCCTTTTAAGAACTGGACTAGGCATCATTCATAATAGCCAGGAGACAGAAATAGCTCGTGTCCATCCTGATGGATAAACAAATGTGGTCTGCACTTAGCAATGGACATGTTTGTAAAGCAATAAGAAAGGAATGGTTAGGACTCCACGCTTCCACTGCAGGGGGCACAAGTTCGATCCAATTGGGGAACTAGGCTCCTGCAAGCCGCCACAGCCAAAAAAAGAAAGGAATGGCATTCTGACACTTGCTACAGCACAGGTGACCTTGAGGACAGTGTGCTGAGTGAAAGAAGCCAGACACAAAAGGACAAATATTGTATGATTCTACTTATGTGAAATACCGAGAACAGGCAGATTCATAGAGACAGAAAGTAGGTGAGAGGTCATCAGGGGCTGGGGGGAGGGGAAACAGAATTCTCACTTGAATGCTCACTTCCTGGGCACCGGGTTTCTGTTTGAGGTCATAAAGTCCGGAAGTGGATAGTGTGATGGTTGCACAGCATTGTCAATGTCATTAATGCCGATGAATTGTCAGTTAAAAGTGGTTAAGTTGGTAAATTGTATGTTATGTATATTTCACCACAACTTTTTAAACACAGGGAAAAAAACCCACTAGGTTAATGAGTCACATCAGTTGAAAAAAAAAGGCAAAAATTGGATTCCCGTGGCTGTCGTTGATGACTGTTCCCTCCCAGCTGTTCTCGGCCGGTGCCTGGACACTGCAGCTGCAGGTCACCTGGGCTTGGCAGGAGGCTCCAGCCACACCACCCTCACCGCCTGTCACCTCGCTGCCCCCCTGCACCCTCCCAGGCCGCTGTCTCTGTTCCCTTTTTCACAGGAATACCTTGCTGCTCTGTCTGCAGTGGGGCCTTCACCCTGGCCTCCAAGCACCTGCTTGCCTCCCTGCCCCCCCAACCCCACTAATCCAGACCCCTGCCCAGCGGGCACCACCTTGGCCCCGCCCGGCTCCCGAGCTCAGGCTGCCCCTCCATCCTCCGCCCAGTTCACTCCGCCAGACTGCAGGGCTAACCCTCTCAGGGCCAGGTGTGGCCCGAGACCCGAGTCCGCTGTCACCCCAAAACCTCCCAGCGGGTCCAGACAGATAGTGGGGGTGGAGCACGTAGGGGGAGCGTGAAAGGGGACAATGGGATGCAGGACAGCCCCGGGCCAGGCACGAGGGCTTTGATCAGACTGTCACCTCCGTTACTAACCAGGGGGCCTGGCTGTTACTGGAACGTGTCACTTAGCTTAGATGGGACTGTGGAGCTGTCCCATCTTAGCAGGTTCCCCTCCCAGGTCACTGTCCCTGCTCCCCGTCTTCTACCTGGTGTCAGCACACGTGTATTTTTCTGTCCCGGGTTTCTCCTCTGCCTCCCTCCCCCACTGGACCACCAGCTCCAGGAGGGGGGAACGTATCTATTTTATTCACTAACGTACACGCAGCATCCAGGACCACACCTGGCCCGCGGCAGGGATGCAGGTGCATGCACAAATGTCTCCGTCACAACCCCTAATTCCACGCTGCTGCTGACCAGGGGAGGGCTGAAGGGGCTCCTTCCGTCTGCGGGGTGGGTCCCAGGCTGTGCTCGGGGCCGCAGGCGTGGGGGCATGGGGCCTGGTGGGGAGGAGGGTCGGTGGAGCCTGCCCAGTGGCGTCGGGTGTGGCTGCTGGCCCAGAAGCTTTATGGAAAAGATGGAGTCCTTGGTGTCCAGCAGGACCACAGTCAGACAGAGCTCTACAAACATTAAAGATGTAAGTTGGGAATTCCCTGGCGGCCCAGTGGTTAAGACTCCGTGCTTCCACTGCAGGGGGCGCAGGTTCGATCCCTGGTTGGGGAACTAACATCCCGCATGCTGTGCAGTATGGCCAAAAAAAAATTTTTTTTAATACTTTTTAAATAAAGATGTAAATTGCTGTACAGTGCTGGCGGGGCTGCTCTGGTTCCTGCAGGTGAGCCCAGCTGTCAGGAGGGCAGCTTCCTCCCGACTTCTCCCCACCCCGGGGGCCTCGGACTCCTGGGGCCACTTCCGCAGAGTCAGGGTGCAAACCCGCAGGGCCTGGTTCTCGGAGATAAGGGCGGCACACCTGGCGGCTGGGCGCCCTTTGACCCACTTCCTGCGAGGCCCCACGGCAGGGATGCGGTATGCGGAACCTGGGATGCTCACCTCCCTCGCCGCGCCATCTGGCTGGCTGCTTCCTCTGCTCCCGTGGGCGGCCACCAGAGACACATCATCCCCTTGGAACCCGGGCAACGCTTCCAGGCCTTGGTGTGCAGTACAGAATTGCAAGATAGAGTCCGGCCCTACCCCAGGCTCCTGATAGAAGTTCAGGACTGGCAGAGTCGTTATCAGGTTGTCCTGAAGCGATCTCGGGGGGACAAAGGTCACCTCGTGGAGGGATCATTTTCAAGTAAAATTGCCTGGCGTGGGGCCTGCCTGCAGCCAGCAAGCCAAAGAGGAAATCGTGAAAGGGTGGGGAGACGCAGACCCTACCCGGAGGGGACAAAGGAGCAGAGTTGAGGCCGTTGCTGGGAGGTCCATGCAGGTCAGACCTTGACAACGGTGGCATCTGTGAGATGCTCTGGGCCAGGTGCACTAAATCATCTAAGCCTCCAAGAGCCCTGCAACATGGGTACTGTCATTTCTCACCATTTTACACACAAAGAAACTAAACCATAGAGGGGTGAAGGTGTATTTTTGGTTCCCCAGATAGTTCTGATACGGGCGGCCGGGGCTGAGGAAGCCCCATGGCCAAGTCTCCCCTCTTAACCGAGGCCAAGGGAGACCTTCTTGGGGCTGAAGGTTTGGACAAATAATGAACTGAGGGGGTACTTTTTTGGGGGGAGGGAGTTGTTTGTTTTTTTGTTTTTTAATATAAATTTATTTATTTACTTTTGGCTGCATTGGGTCTCCATTCCTGTGCGTGGGCTTTCTCTAGTTGCAGCAAGCGGAGGCTACTCTTCGTTGCGGTGCGCAGGCTTCTCCTTGCAGTGGCTTCTCTTGTTGCGAAGCAGGGGCTCTAGGCGCGCAGGCTTCAGTAGTTGTGGCACGTGGGCGCAGTAGTTGTGGCTCATGGACTCTAGAGCATGGGGGCTTCAGTAGTTGTGGCACACGGGCTTAGTTGCTCTGCAGCATGTGGGATCTTCCCGGACCAGGGCTCGAACCCGTGTCCCCTGCACTGGCAGGTGGATTCTTAACCCCTGCACCACCAGGGAA